CCCCCCCCCCCCCAACTCCAGCCTTCTACTTTAGTTGTCAAGGGCCAGTTTTTGACACCCTTATGCATGTTAAATATGATCTTACTTCCAGAGTGCTGCTGCTATAATCAGTGGGGCTGCTCACAGAGCAAGCATACTCCTTCACACTACTCAAAAACACCAGCGCCTCACCTGAAGACAGCAGGTACATTTTTAAATATGCAGAAAAAGTAGATCCTCTGAGAAGGAAGACACACATTTTAAACAGCTGCTTTTCAAAGTAAAATCCGACTTTAAAAAACAGTTTTTAGGAAGAAAGCAAAGAATTATACTGATATTACGGACTAATGTGAAGGGGCCAGGGATTTTTAACTCTGAGTCTGCTCTCAAATCTACCCTACTGAAATATCCACACCCTGTGTCTTAATGCAGTGATTTTGTTTTCTGTAGGTTCCTGCCTGATAACATACTGGAAACATGGGTCCTGGCTAGGAGCAATCAGCTGCCCCCTCTGCAGACAAAAAGTAAGAGTCATTTCTGTTCTAAACTCCTGCTTCTTAACATACAATGAAGAAGACACCTAGGCTAAGCCAGTTCTCCACAGCATCTCGAAACCCATTTAGGCTTCAATAGGACTATGGTCATTTGCAACTATTATTCGATGCCTGTCATGTCAGGAAATTGTGAAGTATTAAATGGGCCTCCAGTGTTTTATGATTTTATAGTTTGTTATATCTGTGTCACAATATTCCATAAAACCTCGGACTCTTGCCAGAGGCTGCACATTGCACTGGAAAATATACACAGGTTTTAAAAGGAAGATGCAAGAAATGTTTCTGCTCAAATGAAACTGGACCAAGGTCAATGTGATGGTGATAACATTGAGAAATACAATAAACTCCAGCATAGGGTTTTTTTTTTCCCTTAATGGTACAATGGTGCACTCCTTTGGATGGAAAGATACAGTGCTAATGCTCACCTTCATTTTCTATCTACAGGTGACTCTTTTGGATAATGTCTTCTGTGAAAATCAACAAAATAAGCCAAGCAAACGGACTGTACATGAGATCAGAGATTACAACAAGCGCTTCTCTGGACAACCTCGACAGGTAAGTGCTTATGTAGGCCTAGTTGGTAGACAGATCCCGAGCGTTCACATTTGAACCCCAGGATCTCCTCTGCCTTTAAGGTTTAGTTCTGAATCAGATCTGAAACCAGAAAGAAGCTGGTTTCTTCTCTGGGTGCATCCCAATTCTCAGGTGAAAAACCAGGCAGGCCTGCAGAGAAAATCATTCATTAAAGCCCAAATGCCAGTAAGTACAGGGGCTCCACAGGCAGCAAAACTGTGCAAAAATGAAAGCCAGATGTACAGGTGCTGCACATTCCTTGCTTACCTCACATAAAGGATAATGGCAAGGCAAATCTTCCTGTCTTCCTGTCCCTAGGGAGCAGGCCTAGGAGGCCTGTGAAATGAACTTAGCCAATAAACTGAGTAGGTTCCATGAAATAGAAATTTATTTCTTCAGATTAATTTATAAACCAGCAGGGAATTTAAATACCAATGGAAAATCCAAACATTATATTTCCTCTTGCATATTTATTCCATGCATAGTTCATTCTATGATTTAATGAATTAAAATACTAACCGGGAATGGAGAGTAATACGAATCACTGGTTGTCTATGATGCATGAAAAAGATCTCTTTAAAGGGTCATAGTATATTTTGGTAACTGAGTACCCTGTATTGCTATTAAGAACTTTGTTCTACAGGTCCAAGTTCATGACTGGGATGTTAGCCTGAGTACAGGCTGCTAGATTGGGCCATTAGGCCAGATTTTCAAAAGCACTTTTGCAAGCGCTGAAGTCTTTTGGTCTTTCAAGCACCCGAGAGCAGATTTTCAAAGGTGGCCTTCACTAAATGAAACAACCCTGATCAGATCTTCATAAAAAATAACACCAAACATACTTTGCTTCTTAAAAAAAAATGGTTCTCCCATTCTGGTATCTATATAAGAGTGAACACTTCTGAAAACCTGGCTCTAAATTCTGGAAAATTAGTGAATTCAATCAGTAAATTCCATAGTTAAGAAACTATAGTTGAAAAAGTGTCCAGAAACTTGTCTGGTGCCTATAGCCACTGAGTGGGATAGAGCAGAAGAACATATTATCACTTCTGAGCATAACACAATTGACTCTTTAGTTTGCAGATTACCTTTATGACATGCCGCTGCTTCTACATCTCGCCTTACGAGGAATCTTCACCCAGGGTGGTCTCATAAGGATCTTCTTCCTAAGAGTCATTATTTGCTCCCTGGGAACCATCATGTGCTTATCTTCTCCATTTGACATAATGCCTGAACCCCTTGGTGGAGTCCTTGGAGCAGTTGACGACTTAGTGGTTGTTTTCCTCTTTTTGAATTGCATGATAAACATTTGCCAGCAAATTGAATCAGAGGGAGTAAGTATGACAAGTTCTGCGACGCAGAGTATGCTATCAGAATCTTGATCGACTCAAACTCTCATTTTTCAAAGAGCTTCCATCAAATGGTTACAGGCGTCTCAAAGACGTGGCGGTAGTGTATGATGAATTTGTTTTTGAAGAACAATCTAATGCTGCATATGGTGAAGTAAGGCTCAGAGACATTTGTCACAACCAAGTCATTTGTTTCCATATGTCTTGCAAGCCTGATTTTCTATACAACTGTGTATATACTGAGCTGCTTCAAAATAAATCGGCCTTTTTTACATAACTTATTTTACCATATAGGGTACCTGAAGTGCCAGTGCCTGAGAGCTATACACAAGACCTAAAATTACAAAGCAGGCACTTTATATCTGAACAGTGGGTTTTTTAATTCAACCTATTTCAATTGAACTAACCTGGGTTTTTGTCTTGGGTATAGTATAGAGACTGCCTTTTGGCCCTGCTCAACCATCTTTGCCTGGAGACTGACAGGGGAACCCTACCCTGTTCATCCTATTCAGTTTCTTACTGGTGTGTGATACAGCTGGCTATGAGGTGCTGATAATGCATTTATACAACCTGGTGGGGGTTCGCAGGACCATTCTTCCTTGGCTCCACAGGGAGATCCCAGATAGCGATGATGAGCAAATGCTCATTGTCTCCCAGTAGCTTTCCAGGTGTGAGTCAAGGTGCTGGTTTTGACCTGAAAATCCCTTTATGGACTGGGCCCTATAAGGGATTTCCTCTTTCTTTGTGTTCTGCCATGGCATCTGATGTCAGCTGAGAGCAACCCCTTACAAGTGCTGTCTATGCACCAAGTTCACTTAATGAAAATACATGGGAGGTTGCAGTAGGTCAGGGGTTGTCAACCGGGGGTATGCGTACCCCCAGGAATACTTGGGAAGGCCCTAGGGGGTATGCGCAGGCAGGCAGGGATGGAGCTCCACCACCCACCACCCTGTGCTGCTGCCTCCCAGGAGCAGGGCTGGGGGTGGTGGGGGCGAAGGCAGCAGTGCATCTGTGTGGACCGCATAGGCACAGCCCAGCCAGCCAGATGCGGGGGAAAGCTCGCACATGGTGACCACCACAACCATCTGTTGCCCCGCGCTGCTGCGGCTCTGCATCCAGCCATGCACTACCCTCCCCCTTCGCTCCCCCTCCTGCTGCTCTGCATCCAGCTGCCGGGGGTGCACCTATTAAAAAAGGTTGAAAACCCTGCTGTAGGTAGTTGCTCCTCAGCTTTGGAGCCCCCTCCCACTTGTGGACCATCAGAGTACAACCCTGGACATCTTTCAAAAGCACTGTAGTACCTTATTTGGGCAGGCTTTTAGCAGGTGGGGTTAAGTGCTGTGCTATGATTTCGGGAGTTGTTTTATTACTTACAATTTTAGTTCAATATTTTATTCTGTTTTGATCATTTATCTTGTTTTTATCCTTAGCCACCCTGCAACTTTTCTGGAGAGAGAGGCATATAAATCAAATAAATAAACTATAGTGACATCTCAGTTCTATTGTATTTCAATCTATTCGATTTAAACCCTAACACATTTTATTACCGAAGAATTTACTAAACCAGCTTCACACGCAACATAGAAAATAAAATGTCAGCTAGATGATGTCTGTAAGAGGGTTCTTCATAGGGCCTTTTGGGCCATCAAAACTGTCTATACTCAGCTCATCCATTGGATTACAATCTTGCAAATTTTTTTATTATCATGATCTTGGTTTTATAAAAGGACATAATGTTAGCTTGACTGAAGAACACCAGTATGAAACACAAGTTTTCCAAAGAGAGCATAATGCAAAGGGACTGAAAGAACTACACAAAGTATCTAAATAAAGCCTGATCTGACTATTGTGTACATGATCATGCAAGGTACAATTTTTTAGCAGCTTCCTTGAACTCCGTGTATCTGAGTTTTAACAAAATTAACATTGTTGTTCGCTTCCTGTAGACTTTGTATGCTCCCTGTACTTTCCTTATAAGTCCAGGCACTTGTTCAACGGGCAAGATCAAGGCCAGATTTATGATGATGATATAAATAGCAGGAAGTGTATGAAGGATTTTTTTTTGCAAGTAGTTAAAATTGTTGGTATAGTGAAGAAAACTATTATTCATTCCATCTGGATCCAACCTGTACTGTATGCTTTTTGTTCTGCATTAGGAGTTAATGGACCTCACCTCACACGTGTGCGTGTGTGTGTGTGTGTGTGTGTGTGTGTGTGTGTGTGTGTGTGTGTGTGTGTGTGTATGTATATAGTTATTGTTCATAATATACTAGTTTCTAAGTGTCATATTTGTGATTTATTTCCTTTCATATATTTTCAATTTATATAATTTTCATTAACCCCTTGAGCTGCATGCTCTGGTTTAATACCATTATATCTGCTTTCTCTGCTGCTGGTTCTTTTTTGTTATGATGTTCTTTGTTCCTTCACTTTAAACCCATTCACTATCATTGTCTCTAGTTATGGCCCCAAACTTGGAAAGCTTACATGGAGCAGTGTCCCCCTAACAATGGGTACTTTGGAAAGGGCAGCAATTGCTTTTCCATGAGCTTCAAGGCAGGAAGTGTATTGTTTCTTTAAAAAAGGGTTACCAGATGTTTCTGAGCACTCACTACTCACATAAAATGATTTTTTTAGGAACCAGCTATTATTTATACAATGCTCTAAGCCTAATTTTGTCATCAGGTAACTCCTGTGTGCATTTAACTTGGACTAAAGAATGGAATTCCTATTAAGCCATGTGTATAAAGATGGTATTATGTTTCATATCCATAGGCTGTTTCTGTTGCATAGCTAGGGCTTAGAGCAGTGATTATCAACCAGGGTGCCATGGTTGTCCCTTGCAATTCTCTCAAGGATGCCACAAGGTACTGCACAATGATAGCACCGTTATGTGTGCAAACACAGTTCACAAGATAAACTCTGAGTTTTCACACAGGAATCTATAGTGCTAAAAAAATCTGACCCATTGTGATATTTCTGGGTTCTTTGCAACATAAGAAATATTTTTCTGCACTCAGAAACAGAGGGAAAGCAGAGAGCTGGCATTTTCCAAGGGGTGCCTTGAGTCACAAATCTAAAAAGGTTGAGAACCATTGGCTCGGAGGAAGAATGGCAACAGCAGGTTGGGGGGTTAGGAGTTCATGGGTTTTCACCAGTGACCTACAAAGGAGTTACAGTTGGCTTGCACAGTCCGTTTGGCGCTTTAAGGCAATGGTTCCCAACCTTTTTATACTGTGGACTGGGAAACTGCAGACCAGCATACTGCAGACAAGAAGTGACCGGCATAGTGCGGACTGGCAGCCAACCATTTTATACTGAATATATGCTGGTCACTTCTGGATTTCTGGTCTGGCAGCCAACCCTCCTGCAGACCAGCAGCCAACCCTTCGTGGCCAGGTTGGCCTTAGCCCAGGAGTTGGGAACCTCTGCTTTAAGGCTGTTAAGCTACTTCTGGCTATTTGCCCCATTTTTTCCCTTTTGTCAGCTACCCCCCTTTGCCTTTAATATAGCACCAAAGCCCTAAACTGGTGGAGACTGGTGTTAAAATAGTAGAAAATAAATAACTCATGCTTAAGTAACATGGATTCCTGTGAGCTGCCCTGGGCTTCCTGTGAGAATCTCACTGAAGTCACTGCAGTGCTCATATCTTTGCAGGATCAGGCCTGCATATGTCATCCAAGGGCAGGCGCACTTTTCTTCAGCAAAGCGTACCCAGTGTGGGAGGTCTCCTGTTCATGCAAGCACGGGGGGAAGCCAACCTGTTTGCCCCCCACTAATTCTCCTGCTTTCACTTCATTCCTGAGAATGGCTCTGGTGCTGAAGCCCCACTTGAATTGCGAGCTTGTGGGACCTAGGGCCATCTCTTTGTCCTCTTCTTCTTCAGTGTCCGGCCCAATGGTCAACGACAAGAGCTTCAGCGGACTATGGTAACACACATGATTACGTCATGTTGGAACTGCAGGCTGGGCTCCACACTTGCTGTCATCCTGTCTGCAGTGTGCGAATGCACCAAAATATGCCTGGATACCTCACTGATGGCTACATGCGAAACAATAAGCAGGAAGTTTTATTGGCATCTGTAAGGCAGGGAAAGATACCTGCAGTATATGCATACCTTACAACTGCATCTGCATGACCTAACCTTTAAATCTCAGTGGCTGAATCTTTCGCCACCTGCTCATTAAAGACTTTTCAAAAGATAAAGTGGTCTGAGCTATCTGATGGCAAAGTGTTTGATTGCAAGGATGGGGATGGAGAAACATAATCTGTCATATTCTGTGAAAGTGCTTTGGAAATTTGGAAAGACAGAGAGAGGGAGAGTCTTTAGTAGCACAGGCAGGCTGCTAAAGATAGGCCCAGAAAGAAATGCTGGCATCAAATTATCCAGGCAATATGAGTTTACAATAGAAATCCTACTTCAATCTTAACCATAGCAGGCACTAGAATTAAAAGGATCAACTGACCTGACAACTTTTGAAACAGTATGTAGGGTAGATGTTAAAAATGCAGCAGGACTTCACTGATTTCTTGTGCTTTCTCGGCTTGTGGCCACTACTGACTGTTGGCACGGTGTACTAACTTTTGTTTTTTAATCAGTGGGGAAATGGTCATCTGCAGTTCAGAGATGTGAATGGCTTGAGGGAAAATACCCAACGTAGCACCACAAAGAGAATGCACTTGATTATTTTTAATTAAAAAGAACAAAGTACAATTTTCTTTGAAACCGCATAACACAATCAGATGAAATTACCATGACCTCCCATTTGCAAGTCTCTGAAAAATCTGGGATGCCCACAGTTCCCAGATTATCTGACTGTGAATTAAATGCCTTGCATGATAGCTTTATACTCTTGCTGATGTTCCACGAGTTTCAGAAACACTTCGTACTTCTTGTCATAAAATCTGTGGGGGTGGAGGAGGATAAAAAAGTTGACTTCAACACATTCGAAGCTCTACAATGCTTTAAACCCCACAATATACATTTTTACTCCACTCAGAGCAGCGTCAATACATGGCGACGTTGCCTCTGTTCTAATTACAGTTTTGCAGGGATTGGAGTCCTGTGTTCTGCCAGAGCAGAGCATCCACCCAAACAAGTGATTTCAAGTTATAATTATACCTTCTGTTTACTCCACACACAGCTTTAATTTTCAGACACTTTCCTATTATGCTCCAGCAGAAGTCTCCGCTGCAGTAAACAGCTGCATAACCATTGACTTCAAAGGCCTTTTACCCATGAGCAGAAATTGTTCCAAAAGGTTTAATCCTTTAAAAAATGACTAATGCCTCCCATGTATTTAGCCAAACCTTCCCTGCTCTCTGGGCTTGGTCATGCTCAGAGATACTATTACTCTTCTTTTGCAAAGAAAGAGAAAGGCAGGAGTTTTTGTCTGGGCTATTATATAGCCTGCACAGCTTGGAGTGGGCTGTAGTGCATGCAACAGTTTGCATTCCCTTACCAGCAAGAAACTGTTTAGTTTTCTCTGTTTGAGGGTTGTTCACACTTTGGTCCTTGCTACACTTGATCACAAAGCTCATTAGTTTCCCCTTCACAATGGAGAGAAGCGTCTTTCACATAAGCTGTCAGAAAATGAAGCTGTGACTCAGACACGCCGAGGGGCTGTTCTGAAGTGTGAATTGTCATCTTGCTTGTCGATCCTCAACTGCACCCGCAGGTGGTGCTCGCACACTTCCCTGCTAGCTCTCCTGCTCTGAGCTGAGGCTATTACTACTGTGGCTCACATTGAACTGGAGCACAGCAGTGCGGGTTAGCCATTGTACGCTGTGGACTAGCTCCCTGTACTCGCACGTCCTGGTGGGGGGCGCTTTGAAGCACATATTGCCAATGGAAGGGTTTCAGGAAAAACGGACAGCCCTCTCATACAAAGCTGTACCTAATTCAGCACCTCACCCAGGTGAACATGCTTAATTTTTATTTAGGCAGACGTGGTTCTTTGAGTGAAGCTGATCTCTTTTATTAGACCAACTTAAATAGTTGGACAACAATTTTTAAGCAAGCTTTCGGGTTCAAAAACCCCAATTCAGCCTGAGGAAGTTTCAGCATTTTCTATTATATCCAACTATTAAAGTTGGTCTAATAAAAGATATCGGATTCACCCAAAGAACCTTGCCTGCCTATGCCCTTAGACCGATACAGGTACAACCTACACCTTTGTAACTTTTATTTAAGCACCGTTGTAGTTTATGGGACTTTCACCTAAACACATTACCCAGGATTGACATTTTGCAGGGCTGCACACAGGCATGGGCAAACAGGGCAGCCACCCGGGGACCGGACAGAAAAAGGGCCTGACAATTCTTTTTCCGTTGTCCAATTATTATTATCATTATCTCTGGCAAATACTAAAAGTTCACCCAGGGCCGCCAGGAGTCTAGGTACAGTGCTGACACTTTCAAAAGCCTTTTAGTGACCTAGGAGGTCAAATCATGTCGAAAATGGGGATTTAGGCTCTTCAATCACATATGCATTATATTTTGGTGCTCTGCTTGTCACACTTCCCTGATCACTCACGATGTAAATAGGGACACTGGCCCGGATTCTTAAAGATAACTAACAGCCCCTGAAATCACGATTTAGTTCATATATCAATTGTGGTACTTCAAAAGAAGTTAGGCACCTGAATACCTTAGCAAATCTGGGGCATCGACATAACTGTGCACAAACAGGGCTAGACGCAAACAGGCACTGATTTCCTTTTAAATGATTTCTCAGCTCTCAAAGAGAGACACATAACAGTCAAAATTACAACCAAGATTACCTTTTATGCTTGTGGTTTGGCTGCACAACTTTCCCAATTTTTCCCATTCTCTCCATAGCCTCCTGGTAAAAGATAAACACAAGTGGAAAGGCCTGTTTTTACTTAAAATATGTTTTGACAAGAACAAGATGTTTCAAGCCCAATCAAGTTGTTACTGATGGATTTAGTTGTGGGTTAACAGGCCAGATGGCATAAAAAGCATTCAGTCCCATTTTACAGTAGTCACAAGAACAAAATACTGCAAACCTTTCTGCAAACCAAAAATCAGTTCCTCTGTCTTCCAAGGAGGCTGGGGCACAGCAGACTCTCTTTTCAGATTTAGGTTAACCAAAAGAAATGTTACTCCCCATCCCTAACCCAGGGGGCTGATATCCTGATTATCCTCCAATAAATCTGTGTTGTTGACGGGATGTTTTAATCACTTCTGTAAGTAGTGAGGCCAAGCCAATGTGCACCCCTAAAGCTACTGGAACGGCCCCGGTTCTGTAACACGGCCCGCAGCTCCCTTCACTTTCTAATGTGAAGGTACAGGACGTTGGGCTCCATCCAGATCTGCTGGAGGTCAAAGCGAATCCAGACTGGAGACTCCAGGGTCCTGTCAAAGGATCTTCTGGGCAGATTCATGCTGTAGGCTGTGGGGACACACTGTAGGGATCAGGGTCCCCTCTGGGTTTGATTTTTTAGAACTGGTGGCTTGGCACATGAAAAGCTGTGCAGTGGTGTTAGGAAGGGGGCTGCAATCTGGCTCTGACACGGGGTGAAGGCATGTTTTTGGTCAGGCCTGGGGCTACATGACTTAGGGAAACAAAAGCTGGCAGGGCCTGTACTATTTCACAGCAAACAGGAGAGCTGCCACCCACAGAGAGACGACTGCTAAAGTATTTTATAAAAGATAAAGGTCAGAAAAGTCTAGTCAGAATGTGACAAGCTTTTCTGATTTCTCAAACTGGAACCTAAACCTGCCTTAGTGCTAGTGCCTCAACAGCAACGTGAAGGACAGTCTGCCTGGGCAAGGGGCTACTCTTGAAAGCCAGCTATCATGTCATGGCTACGTTTTGAAAAGCACTAGATAATTTTATGGTCTATTATATCCGTAGCAATAAAAACAGCACTTAGTGCGCATGGAGCCACCTTCAACTGAGATATCAGAGCTCTTTATAAGGTGGGACAACAATGCCAGTACAGTTCCCCAAATGTAGAATCACTTGCTTAAGACCATACGGTTCCCAGACCTCCCCATGTCCACTTTTAAGCCCTGCTTGGAAGGAATATAATCACATCCTAAGTGCCAGGATGTAAGTGGACTGCCAATAAGACCAGCAGGTCATTTTGTTTCTCCCATGTGCAGGGCTGTGCACTTGGCTGGCCGCACACTGCTTAGGATGAGATTGGTGGACCAGAAAAGTAGGTGATGTCATGTCGGCCACGGCTGTTTGCTGAGCCAGTACTTTAGGTTGGTTATGTCCCATGTGTTTATTTCTTTTGGTATAAACGTCTAAAAATCCGTTTAGATCTTCTTATATGTTGCAGATCCAAATACACTTCTACCGCACGCTGCAGGCAGAGTGTGGGCATACATACGAGTTAGCATTTTTAAGGTTGCAAAACAACAGAGAGAGAAAACTTGTCTCCACTGACGTCAATGGAAAGCTCCCGTTGACTTCAATGGAGCCAGGCCGCCCGAGCGTTTCTGCTCAGAAGCACTGAGGAGCGCTCCGGGTGCACACATCCACGAGGAGGTCGGGTGAAGCACCATGGCATTAACTGACTCCAGAAAGGACACCCTGGAGAAGACATGCATGATGAGATGCTTTCTCTTCCCATGGAAATATGAGGGAGACACCACTACCCTCCCACCAGATTAGGAGCCTGGAAGGGGAAAGTTGAGGTCCCTTTTGGTACAGGAATTGATTCTAGGTCTGATGAGAAAAAGACAATGAGAAAAGGGATATTAACTCAACCACCTTTTGGATGACATGGACTACAGCGTACATATCTGCTCATACAGTAACTACAAGGGCTATGGGGAACTTACAGATATAACGTGAATGACCAGAGAAAAGCTAACTAAATCCTAAAAATAAGAAAGAACAAAATAATAAAGCAACACCATATTTATTTGCAAAAAGCACCTTTCCCCCCTGCCCCGACTCCGAATTAGCTCTCCAAAATTGGGATGCCTGTCTTAAGCAGGGAAGCTGATTTTCTGCCCAGAACAGCAGCAGTGGCATTCTTATTCAGGCAGTGCTGAGGGAGTCAGCTGACATTGTGACCCTTTACAACCTACTTGGTCCTCCTAATGTGCAATGGCTCTGGTGCTGCTTTGCATGCAGCACATGGAGCCCAATCAGCGCAGCCCAGAGTAGCAGGGGCCCAGGGAGTCAGCCTGCCAGCCCAGGGCTGCCCCCCAGCTCCATGTGCTGCAGAGGGGCACACATGTACACACCAAGATACCAAGGCGCAGTAAGCGACTCAAGTAAATGTGCCCCGTGTTAATAACAATAGTCTTTTTAATAGTCTTGATGTTCAGGTATCTTTTCTTCAGTAACTTTGCTGAAGAGTTTATAGTTGAGCTCCTCCTGGTCTCTCTTCCCTTCATTCACAGCCTTGCAGATTATTCTAGCCCTTTTCAAAATCCCATTGGACTCCGGTCTTACAGTAACTCCATTACAGTTTTAGCTTTTAGCACAGCAGCCAAGAGCTGCTGACCGTTCAACTGCGAAAGAGTTCAAACTAGCTTTTGCCTGAGCAGGAAAAAGAGGCAAGTGAGCTGAATATTAGGCTTGGTCTCTGCTGCACGCGGCCGTAACTCTGGGGAAAAAAAAGTCTTAATTCGGCCTTCCCAAAAACTGGGTACACCTCTTCTTTGGGGGCGGGGGGTGTTGTGAGAAAATCTGGTATTAAGAAGCCACATATCCTTAATTGTTTATAATGCATTTTTTCTTAAAACTACCCTCCCACACTACAGGTCCACATGGCCATGAAAAAGCTTAAATAATCACAAGGTTTATAACCACCCCCATTTCCCAGTTCTACCTACCCTGTCTGTGCCTGTGATTCATGCGCAGGTGAAACTTGAGCCTGGAAAAAGCCAAACTCTGTTCCAAAAGGGAAAAGTCATGAATCTCAAGCAATGATAATGGGCATATTTGAAGGGACCTAATGCTTGAATGCTCGTGCTCCTTTTTCAGGTGCAACAGGAGCAAAATGAAGGGCTAGCTTATCTGCTGATGTCGCTGCAAGGAAGCCAGTGTAGCAGTGTATCTTGCTGCACCTATTCCAGCTGTACCCTTACCTGTGAGCCAGAGGGAAAGGCAAAACATAGGGGCCAAGAAGCTGGTGCTCTGGTGCATTCACTACTGGCTCCTGTTTTGCCTGCCTGTGTCACAAGTGTGCTATGCGCTCACACGGGGACTCCCATTCTCTGACGCCTTCTGGCTCCTTCAATCATTTGGTGTTTCAGAAAGCACCGGTGCCTCCTCTGGAAATGATCTAGGCTTTAGAGATAAATGTAAGTGAAGGCAGACTTTATTTTCAAGTTGCTATTCAACCAGTAATGGAGCTTGTCTGGTTTGTTCATGAGAAAGCACGCTTGTCTACACACACCAGAGCAGATTAGCAGGGGGTTTTCAGCTTGGCACTGGGCTGCACTGCTGCTCTCCCTCCCCTGGGCCTGTGAATGACCTGCGCATGGATCCTGCGGGAGGAGTCCCCCATCATGACGCCCCGTCTGCCCCTCCACCTGCACCAGGGTCATGCCAGTACATCCCGATGCAGGATGGGTCTTTAGGCTGTAAGCACCTCACATCAGACATTTCTCTTCCCACCGGTGTTTGTGAAGCTTGGAAGCAAACTTTGGGGCCCCATTCAACTCCCACTTGAGTCGGTGGGAGCCTCTGCACTGCTTACAATGAGAGCTAGATCTCTGGGAAGTGCTAAATGGTACAACAGAGGCATGAGCTCTGGATATGCACCCTGCAGTTTCAGCCCTTCCCTAAAGCCTGATGCTTCTCTTTCTCCTCCAAGTTAATTTGGCCTCTTCCTTCCAGGGCTTTCTCATTTTTTAAAATAAGTTAGTTCCAGACTGGAGGATCCTGGTAGTTTCTTTACTGCCTCCTTTGCACAAAGGACTTCACAACTGGAACGCCAAGGTAGGGTGGGCAGGAGAAGACCGCATTAGGACAGCGGTCAGAGAATAGGCTGCAGCGTGGTGTCCTTACACAACTCCACCTAAATCAGGAACCTGGTTATGGCTGCTGCTTATTCTTTGGACTTGCTTCGCCAATCCCTATTACACAGATGAGGGATGGCACCAGAATTGCCTTTCCAGCCTATCAGGCAAATCTGTTTTACTTTAACACACATCAACATCACGTCAATTGATATTTAAGTCTCTAATCCTCCTGAGCGTGAACCACTTGTACCAGACATCACGACAACGTGACAAAAACAGGTTAAAAATAAACCCTGCAGGCGGCAGTTTTCAAACAATTTGCCCCTTTCACAGTGCTCAAAATATCCAGAGTGATCGTCGTACTTGATTCTTTGTTTTTTGGGTTGTTTTTTTTTGTTGTTGCACTTCAATAATATGTTTCAAGTCAGCTTGGCCCTTCCCGGTTTGATTAAATGCTTCACTCACAGAGGAGACTGTTTTCAGCAATTGTGAAAAGCAGAAAGAACAAAACCCTGAAAATATGAATTTATAATGAAAACAGAAACAAAAGGAACATTGGATTTGCGCTACTGAATCAGACTGAATGCCCAACCTGGTTCAGTGCCCCCTCTCCAACAAAGCCTTAAATATAGCAAAATTATACTACTGTTCAGAAATAGCTCATTTGAGGGTTTACGTCCAAATCCATAATTCCAGGCACGAAGAACTTTGCAATCTTAATTTGAATGACGCTCCAAGGCCTCCGTTTGCCAGTCTAGACCGCACAATGAATACAGTGATTTAAACACAATGAATTCTCTCTTAAAACAAAATATTTTGTAAAATTGCTTTTTAATCATTTCTTTTCTCTCTTTCCATAAAGGCAATGCTATAAATAAACCCATGAAA